TCTATCTATCTATCTATCTATCTATCTATCTATCTATCTATCTATCTACTATTAATTGCTCTGGTTTGATGTTTGTGTAGGACTTCAGAAATGAATCTGAAGAAGAACTTGTTGATGAGCCCATCCTGGGAGAGCTTGTTGATGAGCCAAACTTGGATGTGGGGAGACAGTTTCAACTTATGCAGAGCAAAACAGATGTTGATCAGGAATCCTGGGAAATGCATGAGATTTTGAACCCCATGGAAGAATATCTTGGTGAAGAACGAGAGATGTTAGTGGATGAAGTGTATGATGTAGATCAAGATTACGGAAGAGGTCCGTCAATAAATATGAGGGAAATATCTTCATCTCCTGTGGTGGACATTGCAACTGAAGGACATTGGATCGAAGAATTAGACAGTACTAAAATGGTAGAACTGAATCCTACAAACGATCTTAATACTGAAGAGGTATTTACTGATATATACTGTAAAAAAAATATGTATTTATGTATGTATGTATGTATGTATGTATGTAAAGAATAAATGGTATTGTGATGTCATAAATTCAGTGCAATCATTAGTGTTCTCTTAATTATAATGCTTTAAAATTCAGTACCTAAATAGTCTGAGGAACATTAATGATATTCAGGTGCTTTCTCTAGATACCATTAGCATAATACTTAAAGAATCCATAACAAATTTTGGAAAGCAGGGTTTAATGAATGATATGTCAGCTTTTAAAACCCAGCTTCTGTTAAACTCATTTTTGTTACTGATAGCATAGGGCTAAGTTAATGACTTTCAATTCTGAATTGCCTTTATTTTTCTATTGAAGAATGAAGAAAAGAGTACTAATAATTCACTATTCCATGGTGTTTCAGTGGAGTGCAGCCAAGAAAAGCCTATGTTGGATGGTAAGTGAGATGAGCAAGTATTCAGAATAAATAAATATATTTCTGAGCCAAAATTATCTATGAAACATCAAGAGTTAGCTGGAGTTTAGTCTAAATATGGCTCTCAAAAGGTATCTAAAACAGGTATCTAAAAAAGGGATAAATCTGGGTCTCAAAAGATACCTAAAACATTTCAGAATTTGGGTATAATAGATGTATAAGGGTATGTCATTGTGGATAAAACCTGCATAAGTCCCAGTTGACAATCTATTATATGGCCAGAGACAGCTTACTTCCAAATTATAGTTACCTATAAGACAGATGTGATTGAAGTTGTTTTATGAAGTTTTAAAGATCTTATATGTCTAATACCAACACATTTAAATTGTGGAGAACAGACTGTCTTCCAATGACGTCTGCACTGCTTGTAGCATGTAGAACAGTCTCAAGAACAGATTGACCACTAAAAGGTATACTGTACCAGTGTATGAAAACATAGATATTCACATATCTATATATCTATATCCATATTGACATCTATATTAGATAACCTATCTTAGAACAAGTTATGCAGAAAAAAAAAGATTCCCAAATATTCCCAAATATTACAACTGTTCAAGAAGGACTGAGGGCTACAAGTACTATCCAATCCAATTCCCTTCATTTTAGAACAAGAAAATATTTGACCGCAATGGTTCTGTTTATTAATTTTTAGCTTCAGCTTACCACCATTTAAACCTTTATTTATGATGCCAGTTGTTTAGTATACATTTCTGAAGTTAGATTGCGTGTGCAGTTCTCATTCTGTACACATCATCAAATCAATTATTTTAAGAATATTGAATTACTGGTATAATGAAAGAAATTCTAGAATTTGAAGGTTTTCTGCCTATCTCTTTGTGCTTTCTCTTGGAAAGTCTGTAGGGGAGATGTACCTTGAATTTAACTGCAGACAATTGCTGTTCTTATTACAATGGATGACTTGATTTTCTATGATTGAACAATAAAGGAAAGCTAGTCAAGTGAGAGCAGACAATAACAACAAATTTCTTCTTCTAAGGTATTGCAAACCAAAGTGACCCTAAAGAAGATCTATGCAGTGATGTTGATCATGAGAAATACAACATGAAAAATGAAGATATTGATCCTTCCAGCTCCCAAGATTCTGCGCTATGTAGAATAGTGCTGTCTAAGTATGAAGTGATGCTTACCTAAAAATATGTTGGTAACTTTGATTTACTGAAATAAGAGGAAGAACCTATGAGAAATCAGCAATGAGTTGTCAGTAATTAGAGTTTTAATATTCAACTCATTAAGTAGCTATTGGAGGCAAAGATAGGTATATTTATCTATTAGGGTCAAAAGTGTTACAAGATAAAGTAAGGTTCTGTCAAGTTAAGCTCAAATCATTGTTGCTATCTTGACCAAAATATGAAAGTGGTTTACCATTATTTTTAACAGGATATATTTTTTTAACTTGTAAGTCTATAGCCTTGGGATGTTCTATTGGTTTCCCATCTAAATACCAATTGGCTTTTTTAATAACATTTTTTAACTTCATGCAGATCAGCGTTTCTGAACATTAGCAACTTTAGGACATGTGAGCTTCATCTCCCAGAATTCCCCAGCTTGCATGAGAAGCCTTCTTTTCTTCTACTTCTTATAGCTAATGATGGTAGTGATGATCACTATGATACAATCTTGTCTTGCTACACACTGACACATATCAACTTCACTTAATTACCTTCCTTTCTGTAGAGATAGATTGTATACTTAATTAAGAGGACATTGCAGAGTATTTGTCTTTAATAAAGAGTTGGAAATGGTCCGTTTTCTTTAATGTTTATAGAAAGGCGGAGAAGCTTGAGGATTCTAGGGAATGTGCAAATTTGTTAATGGGATGCATGTATATAAACGTTGCATATTGTATCCATTTTCTTTAGTGAATTGCCTGAAAGAGAAGAAGGAGAAGGAGAAGAAACTCCAATTTTCAGTCACTGGGGACCCCCCCAAATGTATGTTGATAAATATTTTAGTATTTATTTTGCCTAAATAATAATTTGGGGCATTGATCATTAAGTATGGGAGAAGAGAAGTCGGGGCACTTTGCTTAATTATTGGGTATTTTATACCATCTGGGAAGAGTAGTGTGACAATAGTTCCTTGTAGTATACAAAAGGCAGAATTAATATTTATCAGGTGTTCTGCCGAATGACCTTATATCAGTTCCATTGATTTTTACATAATTTCTTGTAAGGCTGTGTGCAAAATGGAAAATGTTTTTATTTCAACTTTTGAAACATTCATACAGTATTTGGGATTGGGAAATTTGGAATATTTTAGTTGTTTCCGGTCTCAGCAAAAACAAAATCTGGACGGTTCTTACAGGGTGAAGAGGACAAAATTGATTTAGCTCACCCATTTTTTCCTTCCTTTATATGATATGGATACTGGCTCACCTCCTGATTTTCCCAGTAGCTTCCTTTCTTTACTTATTTGGAGTCAAGCAAATAGGTAGCAGCTAAAGGGAGGTAGGAAGAAGGAGATACTAATAGAGAATGGTTGGATGTGCCATGCTTGAACCCAAGAACAATGGAAGGGACAGCTGTGCAGCCAGCCAGTCCACCCCTGATTTTCCCAGCATCATCTTCTCTCTCTCTTCCTTGATTTTATGTCCAGTATATGTACCTGGCCCACTGACCTCCAAACTATCCTGAGCTACCCAGTCTCCATGCCTTTTTTATATTCTTCTCCCCCAAAACACATCTGCCTGAATCGTGGGCATGCCTAAACATTTATGTTTCTTTGTGGACATATTTGGATTGTCCCAAACTAGTTATTCTATGTATGAAAACTTCTACTATTGCCTGACTTTGATGCAATGAATTATCCAGTTTATGTTGTAGCATATGTATTCTATTAGCTGACTTGCATGATATGCATTGATTCTTATTAGTAGCTCTTTCAATTCAGAAAAGTGTATGTCTTTAAAAAAGAAATGCTTAAATTTGAGTACTTTCTAGTAAAATCCAAGAGCTGTAGCATTTGCTGTAAAAATGTTAGTAAAGTTGAAGTTATTTCTTCACAAACAGCTTGTAGAATGCTTATTTCCTTTTATTTTATTATCACATTAAACAAATATAATATAATATGATTTGAAACCGAAAAGGAATAATTAAGGAAGCTAACTGCATTATCCAGTCATTGTAATGTGATTTTTCTGACAGTACATAGAATTGATACATTCATATAACACAGATAATAAGCATCACTCTTTTTCACAACAGTACAGTTCTTGAAATTCACATATGAAAATGGTATGTTTCATTTTAATAAGGATAGATTACATGGGGCTGGGTGACATTTGGTGTTCGTGACTGTATTTATTAGTGTATTGAAAGGCATGGACGAGAGTGAAGGAAATTAACATTAAAAGCAGGCATAGAGATCAGATGTTATGACTTATTTTTATTTTTCTAAAACTTTAAAAGAAATTGGATCTCAAAATGGAATTAATTCAGGAAAGACAGAAATGAAGGGCGCAGGTATCATGCAATCTGCAGCAGTGGTCCACTCACATTGTGGTCTACCTTACAACAAACCAGAAGCATTGGGTTTCTATAAGGTTACAGATTTTAGCAAAAACCATGAAGCTCCAATGTCTTATATTCACAGCTTTCTTTCTCCATACAGAATTGAAATTTTCCGGGAGCCCCATGTTCCTCTTGGCATCAGTATTGTTGGTGGGCATACAGTTATAAAACGCCTGAAGAATGGAGAAGAGCTTAAAGGAATATTTATCAAGCAGGTTTTAGAAGACAGCCCTGCTGGAAGAACAAAAGCTCTCAAAACAGGAGATAAAATACTTGAAGTAAGTTCAGAGTTCTTTAAAAGACTGTAGTTGTCTGCATCTGCCTGCTTGAACAGGCTTAATTTTTACAGAGGTTATATTGACTACAAATTACAGATTTAGTAATTAGTAGATATTTGCAGCCTAACTTTAGCTCTTTATCTTATGTGTGAATACAAAATAATGATCATGTAAGATGTAATCGTGCCATTTGAATTTACTGTTCTTTTTATTTTTATTTTTTGAGTGGTCTGGTCCTTATACTGTACAGAGAACTGCAGATGCCACTTATCTACATGAGAAGAGATTAATACCTTCTACTAGAAGCGCATGCATAAATAAAGAATTTTTATTTTTGACTTATTGATGACAAGGAGACTAGAAATTCATGGGGAATTTCTCTTGGGGGATCTTGTAATGGAAGGCTTCCTGAAAAGAAGTTTATTTCCCATCAGTTATCAGGATTTCTCTGTGGAGTGGTGCAGTCAAGAGGACAGTATCTTAAAGCCAAAACAGTCAGAGAATAACAGGAAATGCTACTGCTGTCAAAACTTATGCAACATTAGGAAACCAAATATGCATGAACATAAAGCAAAACGATCAGCTTGAAATAGAAGTTTATTAAGCTCACTAAGGAAAATTGATTCAATGTACTTCCACAGCTTCATGAGTTGAATGAACAAACCCAGTGTTATTTTTAAAATGTCCAGGAATTCAATGTTTTTATAACTGTTTAATTTTTTTATTGATCAAATTGAAGTGTTGCTTCAATTGTATCTAGACAGTAGTCTTTGCTATTGATTAGATGTTAGGTTGATGTTGTGAGTAATCGTATACAGTAGATAGCACTATATCTATTATATTAGTAAACCCTTTTGGGGTTTTTATTCAAGTTTTTCAGCTGACAGATCTTTTTCCAGGATTTGGAACAGAAGAAGTAAATCTAAATGAGTTCATTTCTCTGCAGGTATCTGGAACAGACCTACAAAATGCTACTCATGAAGAAGCTGTGGAAGCTATTAAAAATGCAGGCAACCCCATTGTTTTTGTGGTGCAAAGTCTGTCAACTCTTCCAAGGGTAAGATATCTACACTCATTTATTTTCTAAAACTTAATTTAGATGGAGAATGGATTTCAACTTGTGAGAGAGGAAAAAAATGAAGGGAATCAGTTTGTATCTAGACAACTCTATTTCTTAGAAATAGTTTTTTGTTGGCTTTCTTTTCATTTTTCTCTTTCTCTTCATTTTGATTCATTCACAAAAAAAAATTTCTGTTCGGATACATTCATTCATTCAATCATATTTGCTTTTTGTAGATAGTTTCAGTAATAAACCCCAAGAAAAAGAAAGATGACAAAGATCAGGACACAGAAGAAACTGAAAAGGTAGGTGCAGTCTCACTTTCCAAAACCAGATTCATAAAATAAGTTATCATTTTAAAACAATCCAAGATGGTTTTAAATGGAAGAAGGCAAATAATATTTGAACTTACATAGTAGACTTTCTGATGTGTTTTAAAAAGACGTGTTTTAAAATTTACTTCTAATTGCCCTTAATCTTTATATGTAAACAATTGAATAACATTAGAAGCAATAACAACTGTAATAAAGAGGAAATAGATCACCTGTGAGTGAACTAAAAATAATAAAGAATTATAAAGCCAACAGGTATCTGTTTAGAAGTAAGTGTCAATTAGTTCATTGGAGCTTGTTTCCTTGTTAAGTAGGTTAGAATGAAACAAACCTCTTTGTAAAGGATTTTCTAGAAATAGTCCACATCTAAAATAGATATAATCTAAATGTTCTAGAGTGGTCCAATCTGGAAATGGAACCATTCTAAACTTTCCTAATCATTCACATAAGGAAAGTAAAAACATTGGTTTTGTAATAAAGCTTTTATTAAGAATTTTAATTACAATAGTAAAAACTGATATAAACTATACTTAGAGAAAGCTGAATGAAAAGAAAAAATAGATAGCAATATGAGGAAAAAAGAAAATATAAAAACAGAATATATATATATATATATATATATATATATATATATATATATAATTTATTTGTTTTCTTAAGTTTTCGCGGGTACTTACATGTATGGCATTCGGCTTTGCTCGGGTATTTTCCCACGTCATAGTAGCTGTGCTTTTAAAGTTGTAGCGACGTTTCAGCAGAATCTCATCTGCCTT